AGCCAGGTATCCCAGGGGACCCTGGAGCTCTGGCCTCCAAATCTCATCCTGGAGAGTCTCTCCCATGGGCCCTCTGGTTAGCTGCCACCACCCAAGGAGAGTTGTGTGCTCTGCCTCCTCGAGGGAGAGCTGAGCATGTTGCTGCCTATGGGTGATCCTAGGCTTTGTCCCGACCCAGCAGCACATGGCTTTTATACCAGTGTTACTGGACCTAGCAACTCAGAGAAACTCAATGACTGTTCCATTTTTTTTATTTGAGAGAGAGCAGGAGAGAGAGAATGATAGGGTAGGGGTGATGGGGAGTGTGACAGAGGAAGAGCAGGGAGCAGGCTTGACCCTGAGCACTGAGAGCAAGGCTGGCAGAGGCCGAGGCGAGCCTTGCATCTCAGCATCCCAGGATCCTCACCTGAGCAGCAGGCAGATACTTACTGGACTGAGCCACCCAGGTGCCCCAATAATGGCTTCCAATAAAAAAATCAGATTTTCTCATACCAGTCAGTAAACAAGATAACCTATTTATTAAGCCACTAATTGACCTGAATTATGTAAATGTGAGAGGAATTGGTTTCCAATTTTAGGCTAAATTTGATAAGTAAAAGTTTAATGAAAATTTTAAGCAATGTGACATTAAAGATTTGTCGTAATAAAAGATGGTTTATTTTAGGAAATAGTTCTGGCAGGACTTAGTTAATCTTGGAATTACATGAATGTATAAAAAGTTTCCTTTTGAATTTTCTGGGTAAGATTCAGTTTCCAATCAGTGGCTTTTTTCCCCCTTTCATGTGCTCTGGTTATATAATATAATATTTTAAGTTGGCTGTATAGAATTTGAATTTTTAATATATTAAAGTAATAGATATTTGTGTTTCAAAAAAAGATAAAGAATACACAGTTCTGTAATATTAACTATTGTCACTATGCTGCACATTAATCCCCAGAATTTATGAGTCTCATACCTGCAAGTTTGTATCTTTTACCACCTTTTTCCATTCCCACTGTCCTTCCAAGTAGAGTTTTCTTGATTATTTGTGAGATTTTCAATCCTTTCATAGGCTTATTTGCCATGTACTGCAGCTTTGGAGAACCAGACTTGTTCCAATGGTTGTAGGAGCTCTTTATATATTCTGGATACTGATCCTTTGTCCATGATAAAACAATTTTTTTATTATTACTATTTTGTATTATGTTATATTAGGCACCATACAGCACATCATTAGTTTTTGATGTAGTGTTCCATGATTCACTGTATGCATTTATCACCCAGTGCTCCACGTGATACGTGCCCTCCTTAATACCCACCACCAGGCTCACCCATCCTTCCCACCCTCCCCCTCTAAAACTCTCAGTTTCTTGAGTCCACAGTCTCTATGGTTCATCTCCCCCTCTGATTTCCACCCTCTTCATTTTCCCCTCCTTCTCCTAATATTCTCCATATTACTCCTTACGTTCCATAAGTAAGGGAAACCATATGATAATTGACTTTCTCCGCTTGACTTATTTCACTCAGCATAATCTCCTCCAGTCCTGTCCATGTGTCTGATTTCCAACACCGAAGGAGAACTTGGGAAATATTCTCTTTGTTCAGAATTCTTGTTCAGGCAGTTAGAAGGTCAAGTACAGGAATCTCAACATTTATCACTGTTAGGTCTGTTATCAAATGAAACAAGACTGAGACAAAGTGAAAGCTACTTAAAGCTTATTTATGATAAGCATTAGAAGTCAGACTGACTGGCCAGGGCTGTCTCCGAAGAAAGTGACCCCTCCAATCTTACAAGCTACCTTTTATTGGGTAAAACAGTAATCCATATTTTGGTATCTCAACCTACTGGGTTTGTGTGTCTCTTGCTGATTGGCTAGTTTCATCCGGTCTGGTGACGTGTTATTCAAGATTACTCCATACTAGGACTGTTACAAACAGTACTTTCTGGGAAGGCTTAGTCAGTTAACATACTCAGTGTGAATAATAAGATCGTCGTCCTTCCCAAGATGGAGTCATTTAGGTTTGGGCAAGACCTTCTCACTGTTACAAACAGTACTTCGTACTGATTAGATGTCTCCATCTGGCCTGACTTGTCCTTGTATTCTGGGCTCTGTTATCAGGAACTAGCCGACTACATTTCACTGGTTTCCCAGACTTGTTTCTAAGTAAGTTTCTCTTGGGGGGGACAGGGTCAATTTAAGTTTTATTGCAGAAACAACAAAATGGTTGTTTACCCAAGATGGAGTCTCTCTGGCTAAATAGGTCCTTACAATCACCAGAACATCCGTGTTATGAAAACGTGCAGAGGTGGGTCATCATGACCGAGAATGAAGGCAGGGAAATACTTCATCTCCACCATAATCACGATCTCCTGGAGGACTGGAGGATTCCGCCTTCACCACAGGGATCGAAGGTCCCGTTGGTGCACATGGACAGCAGGTAGAAGCCACTCATCAGAAGGGAGAGCGGATGCAGGAGAGCAGATCCTCAGGCCTTCCTGTAGCAACTTCAGCCTCTAAAAGAGAAACAGGAGCTTGTTCCAGTGGCTGAGAAAATCTTGGGTCAGTCTTCTTGGGCTTCTCCCTCCCGAGTTACTGCCTGGCTCAAAGCCCAGCTCACATGGAGAGTCAAGTATCACCCTACACTAGCCGCCCCTCCCCCAACCCTGGGACACCCAACCCCTGGGTCCAGCAGCCTGACCAAACTCTTCCCTCGTTACCACAAAACAGTCAGATCCACGCCCTACTACTGAACACCTAGGCTCAAGACTAAAGCCACCAATGATTCATCTGTTCCCATGACATAGATCCTGGCCCCCCTCTGGCCAGGTGAGAAGGCCTAAGAGAGTGGCTGGGAGCCCTCCCCAGAAAGGGAACTAGATCCTGGTTCCTGTAGCCTCGGGGAAGGTTACAGGCAAAGATCCATCTTCCCTTGTCATCAGCCTCTCCTCCCCTTGGTAGCTGAACACAAGGTCTGAGTGTGACTGTCCTTGCCCTGCCACACCCTTTCCTGGTGCGGTCAGGTGACAGCATCCCATTCTAACAGCAGCTCAGTGCCCCCTCCTGAGCCACTCTGAGGCACCTCTGCTCAAGGCAGGGGCAGTTCAGCGGGCTGGATATCTGGGCTCTGCAGGAACCTAGCTGCCAAGTTCTGTGAGCACAAGGGCTGAGCCAAGTATCCAGGGGACCCTGGAGCTCTGGCCTTCGAATCTCATCCTGGAGAGTCTCTCCCATGGGCCCTCTGGTTAGCTGCCACCACCCAAGCCGAGGAGCATGGGAGCAGAGCCCTGCAAGCCAGCCTTTGGTTGGGTGGGCAACGGCCTTCCCACCCCTCTTCGTTGGTTCAGACACGGGCCCCTCTCCTGGACGCAGCATGGAGAGGTCCCCCATCCCTAAGACACATCATGTGCAGCCACCTGCTGCTCTCCCCCAAACCAGAGTGTTGTCCATGCCCGTTGCTCCTATTGTCTGCACACCACCCCTTACTTGGGCGCCACCCGAGGTGAAAAGCTGGTCTGAACCAGGCCTGATTTTGCTCAATCCCTCTAGCAAAAACAGGATGTAAAGTTTGGGGTCGGGGAGCCCTGTGCTTTCCCACCAGGCTTAGCAAGGCGCGATCAGAGCTCAAGGCCAAGCTTGCCCAGGTAACAGCTATCAAGCATGTGAGAACTTGGTCCCGGCTCCTTTTGTAGGTCAACTTGACGGGCCAAGGGACACCCCCTAATAGCTGGGAAAACATTCTTTCTGGGTCTGTCTAGAGAGTGTTTCTGGAAGACATGAGCATTTGAATCAGTAGACTGAGTAAAGGAGACTGTCCTCATCAAATCCACGAGGGCCTGAATGGAACAAATGGCGGAGGAAAGGTGACTTTGCTCTCAGTTTGGCTGGGCCATCCTCCTCCTGCCCTCAGTGTTAGTCATTAGCACTCCTGGTGTTTGGTTCTTTGGACCAGGACCTAGACTTACACCACAGATGTCCTGATTCTCGGGCCTTCGGAGTTGCGCTGGAAACCCCACCACCGGCTTCCCTGGTTCTCCAGCTCACAGACCCCCTAGTCATGAGCCAATCCCTTATAATAATTATCTACTTCAACCTCTACATCAACAGCTCCCAATGAGTCTCTTTCTTGGGAGAAGCTAATATAGCCCAACATATCTGGTCTCAAGTTCAGGTGAGCAGGTTCAGGCTATAGGACAAGGGCTGGCTATTTGCCTTTCTCTGTGCTCACCTCGGGCCATCTGCCTCTCACTTCTGACTCAGTTCTACTCACAGTACCTGTTACTCAAAGGACTATGCATTGGACAACAAGGAAGACTGAGTGCGTGAGGACCACAAGGAGGACGGAAGTGATCGGCCTGATGGCTGTGCATTTGACCCGGACTACACGCAGTGTTGTGGCCAGTGCTCCTGAAATGGAAACACAGTAGTGAGAGCCCTGATTAGGGGCCCCAAACTGGGGGCATGAGTCTTTAGCTGCTGCCCCACGTAATCCTACAGCCCAGATGTCCTCCTTCTACCATGTTTGTGGCAGCCGCTGTGACTGGTCCTAGGGATGGAAGAGGGGGCGGTTCATGCAGATCATATAGCTAATGGGGGAAGCAAGGCTTTCCATATAGACAGTCACTCCTGCTGTGACAGAAGAGAAGGGGACACGTATGGATTGTTGACAGAGACATCTTGTCAGGAACTGACATTGCACCTGGCACTGAAGGATTTTGAGAAAGAGACCAGGGGAGACAAAAAACAACAATGAGGCTCAGAAAAGGGAACAGTAAGAAGTAAATCTCTGGAAACAGAATGATGCCTTCAGGTTGGGGCCAGGAAGAAATCCAGAGAGAGAGAACTAAAGGTATGTGCAGTAGGGAGAGATGCCAGTAGGTGAGAAGGGAAAAGAAGGATACTAGAACACACTAGTGGCCCTTGTACTGCCAAGAACAACTCATCATGTATGCATCATTACAAACACACACACACACACACACACTATGGTGGGGTCGGCCAATCTCTTCAAGAGAACCAGCACTCCATCCGGTCTTCTAGTTCCCTGTGGTCTCCTGCGTCTCATGGCTGTGCTCCCGCAGTTTCTGGAGCCATCTCTTACAGTCTCCATTCGCGATCTTCATGAGGTGCTCGGTCAGCTCTCTGTCACCGTCCAACATGTCCTTAACCTGTCGGTCTCCAAGAGGAATCTCTATCCACTTTCTGTTCTCCGGGTCAAAAAGGCAGGTTAACTGCTCATTGAAGACAAACCGCCAGGATCCTCTGCTGTGTCCGTCGGCCCCACGCTCACACATGAGCCAGCCCTGCAGGGTGAGAGAATCCGCCCCCGGCCCCACCAGGGGAAGCAGGTCAGCCTCTGGTCTTGACCAATCCTCTGCCCCACCCGCTGTGCATGCCTCAGCTCCCCTACTGCCCTCCTGGTCCTGCTCTGGCCTCCTTGTCTGCCCTGGCTGCTGGGACCCACCTCGAAGTTTTACATGAACACCACAGCTCCCCAGCCCTGCCAATGTGTTCTCCTTCTGCCCTGGGCCTTCGGACTCACCGCTCTCAGTGACAAACTCCGCTTTGATGTCCAGCAGTTTCTTTCTGAGCTCTTCCCCCAGGTCTTCCAGAGGATCCATCTGTGTGTCCCAAAATGCTGTCCTTCAGCTTCATCCCCCAAGGACCAATGGGTATGACCCACCTGCTCCCACAGGCATAATAAAGAAACTCGTTTCCATTGACCTGGCCTTGAATCTCACACCACGGTTGTCCGGGCCTGGCCTGAGATGTGATGGAGAAATTGTAGGAAAGCAAGAGAGCGTCTGGGAAGGAAAAACACAGGTGGAGGTTGGTGCTGAAAGAAAAAGAGCAGCAGGCACCCGCTGCCATCCAGGTGACAGCAATAGAATGTGTGCAAGAGAGAGCAAGGACTGTCCCTGCACAGCGGCTACCCCTAGTGTAGAGGCTGGCGTCCTTCCCCTTTTGGGATAGGATCAGGATACCTCTGCCTGGCAGGAAGCCACATATCCCCAGATGGGAACCCGCACCTACCAGGCCAAAGGCTGCATCAGTCACTCTACCCAATGCACACACAGGCCAGCCAGGCCATAGCAGAGGAGGCCTGCGTGTCACAGGACTGTCAGGACGCAGGCCAGTGTCCTGTAGGAAGATGAGAGGCAGGGCGGGGGCTGCTCCTGAGGAGCTGGGGCAGGGTAGGGGCAGTGAGGATAGAATCCAAAGTCAGAGAAGGGAGAGTTCAAGACCATGGTCACAGGATTCCATAGGGCCCAGAAGATGGCCCTAATGGGCTCCAAGGATGAGTCCAGGTAAAGTGAAGAAAGGCCTGTCCCCTGTTGCACTGAGATTATCAAGAATTTCCTGAGCAGAGACCAGAGGAAGGGATCACAAGGCTCAGAGAAATGCATAAGTCAGAATGATATAAAATAGAAGCAAATCAAACGAAAAACTCCCCAAACAGAAAAACCCTAAAAGGTCCACAAAATATATCCAGGGGGAGCTCTGGAGGGGCGGGGGTGGTGACTCCTGGAGAAGTTGCTTCAGTGCCAGAGTCGCGGGGGTGTGCGGGGCCCTGGCCCTGCGCGACCGCCCGGTCCTGTACGCAGCCCGGGGCTCCAGGGCTGGCCTCCCGCTCCCCGAGGGGGCAGGCGGGGGCGGGGGCGACAGCGGACTCCCCGCCGCGGCCTCTCCCCTCCCCCCGGCTCCAGCGCCCAGACCTGGCCGTCCGTGGTCGCCCAGGTTCCTCTTCTCCACAGGGCGGCAAAGTCCCGGCGGAGTCCGCGGAGCGGGCAAGGAGCCCGCGGGCGGCGGCGACTCGGCGGGGGTGGGTGGGGGGTGGCCGCCCAAGCCGGCGACAAGGTTCCCCAGTTCCCGGGACTCACCGGTCTCCGCTCCGCCGCGCGTCGCGCCCGCGACCCACCCGGCCGGCGCCGCCGTGATCCCGCGCAGCAGCCGCAGGAGAAACAGCGGGCGCAGGAGCCGCGAGCGCCCCGTGAGCGTGGTGGCGGCCGTGGGCTCCATCGCGACCCCGAGCCGGGGCAGGTCCAGGCGAGGCGCCGAGCGGCTTCCGAAGGAACCGCCCGCCGGGAAGCAGAGCGCGCTCGGGGCGGCCGGCCGGGCTGCGCGGGAGCCTGTCGCCCGCCGAGAGGGACTGGACCTCTGTCCCGGAGAAGCCGCTCGGCGCCGCCCACTTCCCTTCTTACCCGTGCGCAGAGGCGAGAGAGCAGCGCGGACCGAGCCGGGAGAGGCAGAGGAAGCGGCCGAGGATCGAGCCCCAAGGGGAGCCGCCCGCAGAGCAGAGGGGCGGAGCGGAGGTGCTGAGCTGCGCGGCCAGGGGAGGCGGCGCCAGACGGAATCGCGCCGGGGCCCCTGCAGAGGCCCCGGTTCGCGTCTCCGAGTGGGCGGGGCGCGGATGGGCGGGGCTCGGACCTGCCCTCCCAGCAAGGAAGATTTTCTGCCTTGAAAACCACTAGACAGAGACACATGCGCCTATGGGTGTGACAAGTTAACTGGATTCTTTTGGGGCACTTGGTGAATTTTACCGCCATCAGAATCAAGTTTGGTGAGATAATTTATAGGCAATTCTCCCTTCTTTTTGCAGGCACGTAGCTTCAAGTCCTGTATCTTTGCAAGGGTAGGAGAAGCATATGGGCCTGTGGCCAACTTTTTATTTTCTCTTTTCAGCATAACAGAATTCATTGTTTTTTGCACCACTCCCAGTGCTCCATGCAATACGTGCCCTCCTTAATACCCACTTTTAACGCACGTTCTCAGGCTCTGGAAGTAGAAGCAGAGGAATGCTCTTCCTCCAGTTATGGAACCTCTTAGCAACCCGTAAATTCTACAGAGAATCCTATTTCCAAGCAGTGCTACCTTCAGATTTGCAGAGGAGGGAAAAAAATGAGTGATTTTTTTTTTTTTCAGTGACCACACTTTAGCTCTGGGACAAAGTGAGTGTTGGAGCGAGAGTACATCACTTTCACTCACGATCATCTCCCTATCCGATAAATTGCATAAAATCAGCCACATAATGCTAGACTTATTGTAAGTATGATAGATAATAAAGTATCCCACCCCTTCAGTCACTGGAAACACTCATATTAGTTCTGGGCTTTGAGAACTAAATAGCCACATTGTAAACAACGACTGGCCAGCGCTGGTAGCTGCAGTCTTCATGGGACACCCAGTAGAAACTGGGTTGCAAGGTGCCAAAGAGGGAGGACAGGATCTCCATGCCCACATGGTCACAGAACTTTCTGTCCACATCTGCACACGCCAGGTCGTCCACCTCACGGAGGAAGCGCTGCTCACAGAAGCAGCTGACCTTGGCCATGTGCTGCATGGACACATCCTGCCAGTGCAGGGTGCCAGGGACCTCGAGGACCACCACCCTCCAGCCTTCCCAGCAAGGCACCCAGGCCTGGTAGCCCACTGGTTGGTGACGACCTAGTAGGTGAACCTGTGTCCCACCATGATGGGCTTCTCTGCCCTCGGCAGGGAGAGCTCCAGGAGGACCATCTATCTACAGGGATGAGGGACAAGCGGGAGGGGGGTCAGTGTCAGAGGCTGGCGGCAGGAACCCAGAGCTGGGGGCCATAGACGTGAGCACCTTCTTCAAGGGGGCAGGCCCTGGGCTGCTTTAAGCTACAGCCACTCTCCCAGCCTATCCTAAGCAAGTCTGCTTGTGGGGCCTCCCTACCTTCTGCTCCCAGAGATGGAGGCCATCAGCATCCCATCATACAAAGGGAGCCTGAGTCTTCAGAGGCGGGAAGCCAGCCCTGCAGTCAGCACGCTGGAGCCAGGAATGCTCCCCCTGTGCCGAGTTCCCAGGCAAACCCTGCAGGTTCTGTCCTTACCTGCCAGGAGTGGAGCACCTTTGGGCACACCCCTCCTTTCTATGGCCTACAGACTGGCTAGAATCAGCAGGGCTGGCCTCCTGCCCCACTTTGCTTTGAGGGGGCTGTTGCAGCCCCCCACAGAGCTGTCTCCACCCCCATAGGGTCCTCCCTTGAAGGTTACTGGGCTTCTAGCTGACAAGGTCCATCAGTCAACTGCTGCTATTCCTAGGAGCGATCAGCTTCAAACTCCCGCAGATCAGGAATCAGGTCCAGCCTGTGGGCAGGGAAGGGGAAAGAGGACTGCTGGAAGAAGAGGGGGCTTGCTTAGGCCTCAGCCAAGAATCCAAGAGTGGAAGCTTCCAGCTTCAGGTCTACATCTCCCGGGCCCCAAGAAGTTGGAAGTCTTGTCTCTCTGAGGGGACTACCTGTGGGGACAGCAGCTCCCCCATTATCAGCAAGGGTGGTGAGCCCTCTGAGATGGATTTTTGTTAAGGTTCTATTTATTTGTTTGACAGAGAAAGAGACAGGTAGAGAGGGAACACAAGCAGGGGCAGTGGGAGAGGGAGAATCACGCTCCCCGCTGAGCAGGAAGCCCAACATGGCGGCATTCGATCCCAGGACCCCGGGATCACGACCAGAGCTGAAGGCAGATGCTTAATGACTGAGCTACCCAGGCGCCCTGAGACCGATTTTTTCACACAGGCACCAAGGCTACTTCCCAGTGCCTGCCCCATACCTGGCAGCTTAGTAAATCGCTCACACAGGGAAAGTGGGCACTACATTTAAATAGGGGACAAGGCCACACCCAACTGACAGACTTGAGTGAGCTCACTGGGGGGTAAGTCCAGGTCTAGCCAACAGGGGAACAAGCCAGACATGAAGTGCAGGGAGAGAAGAGTGCTCCTGGCAGAGGGCAGAGAGAACGTAAAGGCCTGGAGTGAGGCCTGAGGCACGTGTGGGACAACCACACACCTGGAAGCCCCAAGGGGGGTTGGGAGGATACGGTGGGAGAGAAAAGGCTGGAGAGGACAGGCAGCTGGGGAGCGGATCCCAGAGAGATTCAAAGGTTATGTGCTGAAAAGATCACTCTGCTGATTACCGGAGAAGAATGGGCTCTGTACAGTGGAGGGCAGGGAGACCCTAACCCCGCAGGTTAAATAAGCCCTAACCCTAACCCCAATCAAACACTGTGTTCAATTTTGAGGACTGACAGCTCTACTCTGAGATCACAAACAAGTCCTTCATGCTGGCTTTCACCCCTTGCTCAGTATTATTGAAAGTTCTACCCAGAACAATAAGGCAAGAAATAAGGAACCCACATGTGAAAGGAAACGGTAGAACTAGGTCTATTCAGAGACCAGAGATGACATCATCTTACATAGAGAGCTTCCTGAAGGATTAACAAAAAATGACCACAACCAGTCCCCTAATTCTGCAAAGTTACAGGATAAAATATCAATACACAAAAATCTCTCTTTATCTGTATACACTAGCAATGAATCATCCAAAAAGGAATTTAAAAATCAATTCCACTTTAGGGAATATCAACATGGACAAAATACTTAGAAATAGATGTAATCAAGGTATATGTCTTATACACCAAAAATTACAAAACATTGCTGACAGAAAGTAAGGGAAACCTAAATAAATCTGAGGATACCCCATGGTGATAAAAAGACATACTATTGATAAGATGGCAACAGTAACAAAGCAATGTGGAAATTCAATATGTTCCCAAGAAATTTCACAAAGGCCTTTGGGAAGAAATGCACAAGCTAATCTTAACAGTCATATGGAATTTTAAGAGACCACAAGATAGCCAAAACCATCTTGAAAAAGAAAATCAAAGGTGAAAGGTCATACTTCCAAAGTTCAAATCTTAATACAGAGCAACAGTAAATAAAACATTATGATACTGTCGTAAAGGCATGCGTACAACCTGAAAGAAATAATATATTATATGTTAATTGATTTTTAAATTTACAAAAAAGTTTTAAATAAATAAAATAAATTTCTTTTTAAAAGTATGCATACAGATCAGTGGGATTTAACTGAGAGCCCAGAAATAAAAGCCTTCATTTGTGGTCCACTGAATTTTGACAAGGGTGGACATTACACTGGGGAAACAGAATGGTCTTTTCAGCAAAGGGTGCTAGACAATCAGCTATCCATGTACGGAGGAATGGAACTGGACCCTTTCCTCACACCACATATACACATTAACTCAAAATAAGTTAAAGCCTTAAATGTAAGAGGTAAAATTATAAACCCTAGAAGAAATAAATGGGGATAAACCTTTATAACCTTGGATTTAGCAATGCTTTTAGATCTGACACCAAAGCATAAGAAGGGAGAGGAAAAAAAAAACAAACAGATAAATATCCTCAAAATTAAAAATCTGTCCCGGGTGCCTGGGTGGCTCAGTTGGTTAACCATCTGACTCTTAATTTTGGCTCAGATCATGATCTCAAGGTCATGAGATTGAGCCCCACTCAGTGTGGGGCATGCTTAAGATTCTCTTTCCTTCTCCCTCTGCCCCTATCCACTTGCTTACTCTCTCCCACTCAGTCTTAAAAAAGAAATGTAAAAAATTTTAAAATATTTGTACATCAGAAGATTCTATTCAGAAAGTGAAAAGACAGCCCCCAGAATGGAAGGAAATATTTGTACATTATTCATCTAATAAGAGTCTGTTGCCCAGAATATGTAAAGAGCTTTTACAACTCAACAAAAAGACAACTCCATTTTTAAAATGGACAAAGGACTTGGATAGACCCTTCTCCAGAGAAATCATACAAATGGTGAAAAACACATGAATAGATGTTAAACATCATTAGTCTTTATGGAAATGAAGATTTAAACCAGTTAGATGTCCTTTTGCACAAGTAAAATCACTATGATCAAGAAAACAAGAAATAACAAAAGGATGTTGAGAAACTGAAACCCTTAAACATTGCTTGTGAAAAATGGTGAAGTCTACATATAAAATAGTTTGACATTTACTCAAATAGATCCAAGCAGAATTACCATAAGGTTTAACAATTGTACTCCTAGATATATACCCCCCCAATTGACAACACTGGTTCAAACAAACAAACAAAAATGTACAGGAATATTCATAGCAGCCGTGTTCACAACAGGCAAAAACCAGCAATGTCCATCCATGGGGAAAATGATGTCCTTTTGCAAATGACATATGCAAATGTCCATCCATGAGGAAAAGGATAAACAAAATGAGGTAGACCCGGAAATGGTTATCTTGTTCTGCCTATGAAGGAATGAAGTAAAATGGTTCATTTGTGGGGGGAAAATATGGTGGTTCCTTAAAATATTAAACACAGGGGTGCCTGGGTGGCTCAGTGGGTTAAAGCCTCTGTCTGCAGCTCAGGTCATGATCCCAGGGTCCTGGGATCGAGCCCCGCATCCGGCTCTCTGCTCAGCGGGGATCCTCCTTCCTCCTCTCTCTCTGCCTATTTGTGATCTCTGTCTGTCAAATAAACAAATAAAATCATTAAAATATTAAACACAGAATTCCACTGCAGCCTATATGCCCCCCAATATTGAAAGTAGAACTACCCATATTGAGAGCAGCATTTCTCACAACGGCCAAAAGGTGAAAGCTGCCCAAGTGTCCACTGACAGATAAATAGATAAACAAAATGTGGTTTATACACCATGGAACATGATTCAGCCTTAAAAACGAAGGGAGTTCTGACATAGGCTACAACACAGGTTGAACGTGGAAGTCATTACACTGAGTGAAATCAGCCAGTCACAGAAGGACAGATACTGTATGATACCACTTGGATGAGATGTCTGGGACCCAAAGCTGGATGTGGCTGCAGGGGACCGAGGGGAAAGGACAACGGGGAGTTGGTGTTTCATGCATACAGGCTCCCTCATGGAGAATGAGAAAATTCTGGGGAATGATATACGACCGTGGGAACTCAGTGAAGGCCAGAGAATTGTGCACCTGAAATGTTTTAAGGGGTCAATGTTCTTATGTTCAGTCACCATGAAAAAAATGAATGAAGGACCAATGCATGTCACAATGTGGATGGACACTGAAAACAGCCCCAGTGACTTAAGTCATATAGAAATACCACTCAGATGGGAGCCATCTGTGCTCCTTAATTAAGTCCATCAAGGTTACCCTAATAAGGAAAGTCCTGGAAAAAGTTTCAGAAGAAGAAAACTGGATCCAAATGGAGAAGACATTTCAGACCATCAGGCAGGTGGTGACAGCTGAAGTGGGCCCATGGTCTGGGTTCAAATGTGGGAACCATCATGATTTCCTCACTGGGGGTTACGTGGTGGTTCCACGGGACACTGTCCCTGTTTGGGATAAAATGCACCAAAGTAGCCTGTGTCAAGTGGCAAACGTGGTAAAGAAACAACAGCTGGGGAGTCTGAGTGTGGAAATAAAGCATATTTGTGCTGCTGTGACAAGTTACTGCAGATTTGAAATCACCGCAGAGTAAATGACTCTTTCAAACATCCACATTAGCACCACGTCACAGAAGCAGAGAGGACAGAAGCCGACTTCAGGATGGAGGCCAAGCCCTCACGGATCCAGTTTACCCACCGTGGAGAGGCCACTTTCCCTTGGAGGAGGCCACATGTTAGCAAGAGACTCATGGGAGGATTAATTGGGTGCTCCCATGTCTTGGGTGCAGTAGAAGCAGTGGGATTTGGAATTCCAATTCTCCACGATGCTCCACCACAACGTGGTTAGAACTGTAAGAAAGCATGAAGGGAAGCCTCCGGAAAGTGGACTGGGGACACCCAGAAGGGGAGGCTGGAAGGGGGTGCCTGGCGCTCAGTGCCCATTACAGACCCCCACATTACAATCCCCCATGGGAGAGACTCATCCATTCCAGGCCCCACAGGGGAAGCTGGGGGGTTCATCTCCTACAAGAAATCCACCATCCCCACAGCTCAGCCAGTGAGAATCCTCCATCCCCCCGAACCCCCCCCTTGCTCCAGGGGACTTTCCTTCCAAGCAGCCCTCCCAACTTCTTCCTCCTTCTCCATGAAATAACTTTCCTCTCCTTTGTTTCTTGCACTTGCCTGTGATGTGCCTGTAGATTGCTCATCCCAGGTTGCCATCCTCTGCTATTCCCAAATAAACCCATTCTACTGGCCAAATAACTGGAAGTTTGAGTTTAAGGCAAACAGAACTAACAAATTCGAGAAACTTGCAAGGAACAAAACCAATATACACAAATCAATTGCATTTCTACATGCTCCAAAGGAACCATCGGAAAGAGACTATGGAGAAAAACCTCATTTACTACTGCATCCAAAAGAACAAGATACCTAGGAGTCCCCTGAACCAAGGGGGTGACAGACCTGTCCTCCGACAGCCATGGGACACTGATGACACACAGGGAGGGAGACACACGGAGACGGGAAGACACCCTGTGCTCAGGGAAGAACCGACACTGGGAAAATACCTCCTCTCCCCACAGCCACCTACACAGCCTGCGCTGTCACTCTGGAACTTCCAGACTCTGGACCAACCCTGATGTGGGTGTGGACACGGGAAGGACCTTGTGGGGACGAGGCAGGGGGAACACAAGCACCGAGGCGGGCGGCGGCTCTCTGACTACAGACTGTCTCAGGAGCCTCAGGAACTGAATCCGCACATAAACACAGACGCGGGACTGGGGCGCACATCCAAGCCCAGAAAGGCGGGACCCCATAGCCCCACAAACAGCACAGAGGGAGGCCACGTCACCACACACAAAACCACAGAAGCCCCAGTGTCTACACAGCGCACCCTTCCTCTTTGGGGTCCTGAGACCACGCACCCCCTCACCAGTCCCCACTCAGGCGGGTTCTCCTCACCTTCTCCAGCGGCCAGTCCTGAGGGGGCGAGACTGCTGTCAGTGTGGACATGGCCCCAGCCTCCACAGTGGGTCCTGTCTGTCAGTGTGGATGTGGGCGCATATCCTCGCCAGCTTGTCCTGTCAGCAAGGGAGCAGCCCACGTCCTCCAGAAGTCTCCACAGCGGGTCCTGAGGAGGCCCGACTCCTGTCCCAACTGCAGCTGCACAGGCCCGGCTTAGGGCGGGAGCTGGGGTCCTGTGCCCTCTGCAGGCAGTGGGGAGCAGTGCAGTACTAGGGGAGCTCACCCTTCAACAGAAGCACCTGTCCCTCCCAGGGTCCAGGTGGAGCCATTTCATTCTGGAAATTCAAGCTGCATGGAGCCCAATATCCCCCAAATTCTCCAAAAATAGCTAAGGAAAAATGAATTGGAAAAAAATATGGAATGACAACAGTCCCTGACCCAAACGGTGGCACCGAACATGACCCTGGCCCTGACGCAGACCCACACTCTGACCTTAACTTGCTCTCAATCCTAGCCCTGACCCCAATTTAAGACCCTCACCCTAGCCCCCTACCCAGACAGTGTCCACAAGAATCAAAAGGTAGAAACTGCAAATATCCATCAGTGGTAAATGAATAAACAAAGTGTGGTGAAGGATTTCAATTGGGTTGAGGTTCAGGTTTGAGCCAGAGTTCTAGATCAGGCTTTGGGGATAGCGTCAGGGTGAAGATTTAGAGTGAGGGGCAAGGGAACAGTTAGAGTTTAGGGCTTTAGGTTTATGATTTAGGGTTTAAGACTCAGGGCTTCTGGGATAAAGTTCAAGGTCAAATTTGGGGTTTGGGTTCATCCTGGGATTTGGGTTCAGGGTTCATGGCTCAGAGTTCTGGTTTAGGGTTTGGGTTCATGGTTCAGGGCTTGGATCCAGGGCTCAAGCTCAGAGTTTAGGCTTCGGGTTCAATTTCAGGTTTGGGATTCGGGGTTCCAGTTTGGGCTTTAAGGTCAGGTTTGGTTTCACTTTTAGAGGTTAAGGTTAGGTTTAGAAATGACACATTTTCTTCAATTGTCATCGTGCACACAAAATTTCTATCTGAACTTTCTAAATCTGAAATGCATTTCAACTGGGTGCAGGAGCTCATTTAGAATTTAAGATCTCAGTAACTCCTCACCAAGAGCATCCTGATTCTAGGGCCTCCCAGTCACTGAGAATTTGCTTTTGTCTTGGCTCAAGCATACCCTTGGCAGACAAGGGCAAGCGGTTGCCAAAGTTGGGATGATTTCACGATGATAGAGGTGTGAACCCAAATATTGTGGAACTGTTCATGGAAAATGAAGCAGGTAACAAATAATTGGTCAACTCCTGATTCTTCTACAAAGACCAAGTCTCCAACAGAATCCGATAATATTCTTAGAAAGGCCTATGGTACTCATTACCAATATTTAAAGAGAGCCCCCTCCCCTACTTTAAACTAAGAATCATGGCAGGATACATCCTACTTTGTGTCAAAAATAAAATTTTATTATTTGGCTGTTCCAATGTACAATCTGCAGAAGCACTGACAACATTTTCCTTTCTCGAATCCTCATCAACACAAGAGTAAAATGCAGGCAGTGTTATAATGCACTGCTCATTGGAATACCAAGTACAAGGTAGGCTATTAGAAGCAATAAAAAGATATTGAATATAAAGCTCAGAAAAAACACCCTTGATGGGCACTTAGTGAGGATCCCTAAACACAAGATCTAACATCTCATCCTATGGAATTCACCCATAAAAATCATCAATAACAATAGCCTGCTGACCACTGTAACCACCTCACCATTGGCCTCTAGGCTTGTAATACACACTCCAACCGCTAGAGACACACTTCTCAGCAGCAGAACAGGACTTGCCCACTCCCAGTGGACCAACTCTTACAATGAAGCCAAAAAATCCCACCCCTTGGAAATCCCAGCCATGAGGACACAGCCACAGAAACTACACCCAGAACTCAACAGAGGACAGACATCTCATGAAGCAGATGCTGAAACCACTCCCATGAAGTAGCTCTACAGTGGACTCCAGGATCACAAGGGACACTGCATTCTTCCAAGACTCCATCCTCAGAACAAAAGTATGACTGTCCTCATCAGTCTTGTGTGCAGGCACATAGGGAACCCTGTGAAAGCCAGACACCTTCTTGAGAGCACTCAACCTCTCACGCCTATTCTAGTAGATGGAGGTTGCTGCTCTCCATGACTTCCGTACCACCTACAGAATGCTTGGAACAAGCCTTCTCATACTCCACGCAAAAGGTATATTCTCCATTTACAAAATGATGGATGCTGAAACACCATGACTCTTGAACCTAGATAAGCTGGAGCTACAGCTTGGCCAGCGCTATTATCCCAGCCCCCTACACACACACACACACACACACACACACACACACACACACACCCTTCCCTTGTACCCTCCAGATGAGTTTCCATCCACCTTGTTCATTCTCAGCCATTGTCTCTGCAGAGTAGTACAGTAGTACTGAGGTCCTGGGACTGAGGTGCTAGGTGCTAAGACCGCACCTTCAACCACTTACTATCGGAAATTGATATTTGTTTTATTAACAGAAGCATCACAGAAGATCTTGCCACCATGGCCAATAGAAAAGTCATTACAACAGAGGTCCTAACAAACTGCCAAATTACACGTCTCCACTCCTGGCTCCGGGGATTGGCTCATAAATGGGCATGTGACCTGGTCCCAGCCAATAAGGAGGGAGGAACTTTAAGTCTCAGCCTATAGAGCTAATCATGAGGTGGACCACCCAGGACAAGGGCTTATCCGTCTCGACTGCACCAGTTGCCTAGGCCAGGCCCATGCCAGTGCCACAGAGGGCCCAGGAAGCCAGGTGCTCCATAACATTGCTGAGGGCTGAATCAGACTCATTCTGAAGCCCACACACACTAGATCCTCCACTAACTCAGGAGAACCCCAAATGTGCTCGTGGTCTTGGCCTGAACAAGACAAGCATCTGTGTGGTGTAGAACACACAAGATACACCCGCCAGGCAAAGGGGACTGACTCAGCCAGTCATGGGATTCAGCCACAGGCAAACGTGTTGTGGGAAGCTCGAGGCCCATAGAGAAATGGGCAGGGGGAGTGGGGAGAGGGAATTCCTGAGGCCTTCATTGTTGGCCAATTGCACTATCATCTTTTTTTCCTCTCACATGCAGGGGCCAGGTTCAGGCAAGATAGATCCCAGTGTCTTCCCACTCTGCCACTGGTAAAGAAGAGCCCTCTTCCCCATCATCCATCATGTTGCAGATCTGGGGTGTGGGAAACTACCACCCATGGGCCAAATGGACCTCCCCATTTGAAACTACCACCCATGGGCCAAATTGGATTCTTGCAATCCAGTGTGTTCCAGAACATGAGTTATGGATGGTTTGTGGCCGCTTTCAGGCCACAATGCAAGAGTGGAGTCATTACCAGAGACACCATGTGGACAGCAACACCTAACAGAAAACCTTTACAGAAGACTTCCCAGAAGAGTCTGTGCCGATCCCTGGTCTCAAAGATCCTAGGATCATGTCCCTTCTTTGAATAGAACATAGCGCCTTCTGGGTCCGATCTAATTTCTTCAACCCCAGAGGCAAGGACTTCCATCCTTTTAGCCAGAACCCCATTTCCATCATCCTCTATTGACGCCTTGAGTGGCTCATCCACAGGTCCGCAGCCCAACGGGGATTCCCTGTCATTTCCGTGGTAGTGATGCTCAGAAACGGAGGCGTAAGTGTGAAGTTGTGAGGGTGAGTGTGTGTTTCCCCTTTGGTAGCCACAGTGTGCAGGGAGAATACAGTAGAGTAGCATGCTTTCTGTCCCACAGGAACGGCCACACACTGGTTACACAGTCATCTCAGAAGGAAGCTACCTTCACAGAACAGACTTCATCTGGGAGGACTCCCCAAATCCCTTATCCTGGACACCTGGTTCCACTGAAGCTGGGGGCACACAGAGGGACAGAGACTCCCCCTGCCCTTCAGGGTTTTGAGGGACGTCTGCTGTTCCAGTACCAAAGATCCCAAAACCATTCATCTGCCTATCATCCAGCCAGGCATCTGTGAGAGAGATCTACTCCAAGCAGAAAGGACAGACTGAGAGACAGCAAATGCAGCCTTGTGTGACAAGTGCCACAACAGAGGACACTCAGGAGGACTGAGGGTGTGTAGGGTTGACCAGATGTGGGGGTAGGAGGACAGGGAACACTCCAGGAGGGCAATCACAGCTATGTTCGATGGTGGATACTCAGGAGGACTGGAGGTGTGCAGGGTTGGACAGACCAGGGGGCTAGGGGGACCAGCAGTGCTCCAGGAGGAAGTCACAGCTGTGCCCTTGGGTGGCTACATGTGTCCGTGTGACTGGGCATTGGCCAGACTGGAAATGACAGCGCGGGCGAGGGGCGGTGTCCTTAAACTGTCTTCTTCAAGGCAAAATTCAGTAATGAGATTTCTTTCAGTACGATTTCATGTCACATGCGTCCATGAGTCCCTAAAGCTGATTGTGTAAAACATGAAGTCTGTAATGGGCCATGCCTTTCAAACCTGAGATGCTGGGACAGAGCACATTCGGTATTTCTTTTGGCTGCTTTCAGAGCAGGATGACTTTTCCCACCTTCATCTCTGACCCCAGGACAGGAAACAAAGACATCACACATCTACACTTCAAAATGTCCACAGAAATCTACAAACTCAAGTTCTCACAGGAGCTAATGGCTCAGGACCAGCAGGAAAGAAAGGGGTGGCCGACAACAAAGAACCAAGAGAACACATCAAGTGCATGTGAGCAGGCCCACTTCTCTGCCTGTAGGAAGCGAGCCATGCCTGACAGGAGGGAGTCCCACCCGCACCTGGTGCGTGTGGTTGCTGCTCTTGAGCAGAGCAGAGGATGGGCTGAGCTGGGTGTGGCTGTTGTGGGGAGATAGCTGGCTGGCCACGGAGGCTACCTGCCAAGTCCCTAGAAGACCAGCTCCTGGTCCTCAGCTAAGATGAAACAATCATTATGTGTAGTGACCTATTTCCAGGGACAGGTCATG